CCTTTTTGTTGATTTTGACAGTTTTTTTTTTTTTTTGAGTCAGGGTCTGTATGTAGTTCTTGCAGTGATACTCCTGTCTCTGCCTCCCTAATGCTGAGATTACAGGTGTGCACTACCACACTTGACAACTTTGACATGTGCTTTTTAGGTATTTTATATGTCTTCCCATTTGGAATTGGTGTTTTTCTCTGTGTTAGGCTGGAGTAATGGGTCTTTTGGGAAAAGATTATGCAAGTGAAGTTAAATTCTTATATTAAGGACAAGTGATGGTGAACCTTTTTGTTTTCAATGATAACAAATATCTGCTGTGACACACGTGCTATCGGTTGGCTATCATTGGTACTGTCCACATGACTTACTACTGTGGATGTTAACTCTAATCACCCGCTAAAGTGTTTGTCAGGCTTCTCCACTAAATTTACATCTTCTTCCCGTGGTCTTTAGGAGAAAGTCATTATATGCAGCCACAATTAAGTGGGAAGTTATGCACCACTTTGAGAGTGCAATATCAAGCCGGGCGTGGTGGTGCACGTCTGTAATGCCAGCACTCAGGAGGCTGAGGCAGGAGAATCACTGTGAGTTGGAGACCAGCCCGGGCTACATAGTGAGTTCCAGGTCAATCTCAACTACATAGCGAGACCCTGTTTCAAAATATCCCCCCCCCAAAAAAAAGAAGAAAAAGTGGAATATCTACATAATTTAAAATTGTGTTGTGTGGCAGAAAAAAAATCTGTGCATATTCAGTAAGGATGCAATTTAGTTTTTGAATATTTTCAATCTCCAGTTGGTAAACCCATGGATGTGCTCAGATGAGGAACTCTCAGATCTAGGAATGGGGGCAGTGACTACTTCGTAGGTTGTTCTGTCATATCTCATTGTATCCCATAAGGAGCACAAGATGGTATGCTTCTTCCTCCTTTAATGATTCCAAGATTGATCAGCTATGTTCTTTTCCCCTAAAAGTTTTGGCAACCCTTGATTTGATGGTTATTATGTGAATCTATCACTTAATGTATAGAAAATAGTAGTTTCTGAGCCTGTCATTCTGAAATTACTGGGTAGGAAATGTGTCAAAGCATAGTTTTTCTTTTATTACAATAGACTTGGAGCATCTTTTCTGAAAATTGTCCATCTGTGTATTTTCCCTGTTCTTCTATGGACGTGGAATTTTTCCTTCCCAATTTTACATTACATAGAAACACAGAAACACACACACACACACACACACACACACACACAATTTATAAGTTGCAAATACTTTTGCCCAACTTGTGGTTTCATTTTTTGCCATGCAAAAGTTTACTTCTTTTTATTTTTCAGTACTAGGGATCAAACTCAGGACCTTGTGCTTGGAGGCAGACACAGTGCCACTAAGCTAAATCCCTGGCCTTTAAAGTTTACTTTTATGTAGACAATTTTGTAAATATTTCTTTTCTTTTTGGTACCAGGGATTGAACTCTGGACATTGTGTTTGCAAGGCAGGTGGTGGAACCATTGAGCTAAATCCCCAGCTGTCAATATTTCTTTTTTGGGGGGGTGGGTACTGGGCATCGAACTCTAGATGTTGCACTTGTGAAGCAAGTGGTGGCACCACTGAGCTAAATCCCCAGCTCTCAATACTTCTTATTATATATGGACTTTGAATCCTATCTAGGCAAGTTTTCCCTACTTCTAGCTTATGAAGTTCACCTTCATAGAACTCACATTCTACTTGAGGGAGAGAAGAGATAAAGAACACATTGTACGTTAGATTTGTTGTGGACAAAAATTGAACAGGGAGGATGGATAAGGACCCCACATTTGAAGTTTGGAGATGGGCTGAGCTTGGAGGGGGGGTAGGATCCTGTTTATGGGAGGGGGAACACTAAGAACTGTGCGTAGGAGAACAAAAGTATAAAGATGGGAACAGTAGCCAGGGACGAGGAAAGCTGGGAGAGAGATGGCTTTGCAGGCTGAGTTGTTGCAGGGGAGGTAGACAGCAAGGGTCAAGGTCATGGAGATGTCAATATCCTTTATTTGGAAGTATTGTGAAACCAATAAAACTGCCATTTGTGGTTGTTTTTCTTCTGGAACCAGGCAGGTTGAGTAGTTTGTTTCATTTGGGAGAAAAAAATTCACCACAAGAGACTGGGAAACCTTGAAAAAAATAAAGCCCCGAGTGCAATCTAGTTTCCAATATTACCATGTACTGCAAAACCTTTACAATGAAAGCACTGTGGCAATGGCACATGGAGAGTTACATATACAATGGCTCTGGAAAGAATGAAGTCTGTCTTTGTTTTTAAGACAGGGTCTTGCTATGTAATTCAGGCTGGCCTTGAATTCATGGTGATCCTCCTGCCTCAGCCTTCCAAGTGATAGGTTTGCAGGTGTGCAGACCATAGGTGGCAAGAGAATCTAATTAAACACAGAAATTTGGTGTAGGAAAATGTGGCACTTCAAACCAGTGGGTACAGTTCGACTTTATAATGGAAGAATAATCCACACAGTGAAATGCACAAGGCCATAAGAGTACAAGGAAGGCAGGTGTGGCACATGCCTGTAATTCCAGCACTTAGCCTGGGCAACTTAGTGATTCAGTGGGGCCCTGTCTCAAAATTCAAAGGCTGGGGATGTAGCTCAATGTGAAGGACCAGGGTTCAATCACCAGTACCACAAAAAAAGCACAAGGTGAGTTCTGACCAACCAACCTCCTGATATATACTGTATTCCCATTACCCTAGAGCAGTGACAGGGAACCTTTTAGAGATTTCAGTGACACAGCCTGCTGCAGCACATGTGCCATAGGTTCGCCACCACTGCCCTATTTCCTTGTCTCCTTATTTTATCCCTGCCACCCACCCCTTTCTCAGCGGCAACTGCTGCTCTGCCTGAGAATTTACTGAGTGCTGCTGGGATATAGATGAAATAAGATAGCATTGAACGTGTTTGCCAGGCTAAATTCCAAATGCCTGGATTTAATGTCAAAAAAGGAAACTAAAAACTCTAAGAAAAGCTTATCTCTTAACTCTGTCCCACCTTTCATTATGAGGGGCTCTTCTGCGGCCCTTGTACCAGCACCTTTCAACACACAGGCATGTACGTGCCAGTGTTCCCCTAACACCCGTGTGGTGGCTCTTGCTCCTGACCTTTACAGTGTATTATTTTAAAATCTCACCACTGGACTGGGGATTTAGCTCAGTGGCACCTCACCTGCCTCGCAAGCACAAGGTCCTGAGTTCGATCCCTGGTACCAAACAAACAAGACAAAAAAACTCATCCCCTATACCTGCATTATTTTCTCACAGTTTTCTTCCAGCAAAACTCCCTTACCTCACAACTGTCTGCCCCCATCACTTCCTAAAGGTAGGGACATTGGGCCATTTTGTTCAGTGCTGTATCCTCAGTTCCCTAAGGAGTTACACTGCTGAGGGTGAAAGTCATGCTGCGACTTTAAGGGGTACACGGGGTGTGCTCCCGGATACCCCATTCTCTCGGCTTTGATGGGATACAAGGGGAGGGTAGGAAGAGAGAGGAGCAGAACAGCCCTAGGGGGACTGCAGAGACTACAGGCTGCCAATCCTGACCATGCTTTCTTTTGAATGTTTTATTGGGGAAGGAGAGGTGCCGGGTGAAAAAGCGTGGAATGCTTGGCTCTAGAGGGAGCCTCTTCCTCATCTGCACAGCTGCTGCAGGGCTCCCTGGGCCTGGACCCAGCGAAGCCGCCACTGGGGCAGGGACAGGCCCTGGCAGAGCTCCTGAGAGAGGGCGGTTTGGCCTGGCTGCTCCCACCTGGGAAAGGGCACGGGCACAAGGGATTGGGGCAGGGACAGGCCCTGGCAGAGCTCCTGAGAGAGGGCGGTTTGGCCTGGCTGCTCCCACCTGGGAAAGGGCACGGTGTCACAAGGAATGCCCAGCCCTCCAGACCCCCCCCCCGCCTTCTGCCATCCTCAAAGCCTGAGCCCCGCCGTTCCACCCGGCTCAGTCCTCGCCCCATTTCCCTCTCTTACCAGTCCCCCACGACTCCCTGGAGTTCGGGGATGCGTTCCAGTGCCTGTTTCAGCATGTTCTCCATCCTCTTTAGAGCCTGCCCTAGGCTCTCCTTTTGCTCCTTTTCCTGGGATGCCTGGATCTGCAGCAGCTCTGGACGTTAGAAGACCAATAGGGTCACCGAATCTCCAGTCACCTAGTTCCGTCCCTCCTCCCGAGTCCTCATCCCAGACACTGTCTTCCTTCCCGTGACAGCCCAGTAGTCTCTATGGCCCACCCTCTCAGGTTCCCAAGTTTCTCTCTGTTCCCTACTCTTCCTGTTAGCCTCCCTCCTAGGCCCCAGGCCTGTCTCCCACTCTGCTCACCTGCCATCTGGCAGCTAGAATGATCTTCCCAAGGCCCAAACCTGATCTTTCCCCCCTCTGCTTAGAACCTTCCAAGGCTCCCTAGTGCTCCCAAGCTCCTCAGCATGGTATTAGAGTCTGCATTATTTGATCCTGCTCACTTCCTGGGGAAAACCCGTCCCCACCCCAGGGCCCATGTGAGATGCCATCTTTCCTTTGGAAAGCCCTTCCCAGCATCTGGCACCCCAGCGCTTCTTCCTCAGCCTGCTCCAGCCCTCCACTCCAGGGGTGTTTCCCCAGGACGGTGATTGGTCCTAGTCCTCTCCATGTGCCCAGAACAAGCCCATCCCAGAGCCAGTGCAGATCAGCAGCATTCTCAGACCTCACGGGCCTGAATCCTGATTTTATCCCATCCTTGCCCTGTGACCTCAGTCTTGACCCTTGTCCTTTCTTTAGCCATCTCTGCCGTCAGGCAGGCGTAGCTGTAGGCTAGTGGGGAGGGGAAGACTGGAGCACTCGGGAGATGGGACCCACAGCACTTGCTGACAGGCTGAAGTGGGGTGGTTAGGGAGCTGGGAGGAATGAGGGATGACCCCAGGGTTTCTGCTGTGGCAACTGGATGAGGAAGATGGGACACTTACTGAGGGGAGGAAACCAGAAAGAAGAGGGAAGAACTAGCTCTTTGGAGTAAAGGGAACTGAGAATTCTCTTACAGATATGCGAAGGTTCGAGATGCCCATGAGGTGGGGACATGTTGTGCCACGTCTCACACTGTTCCTGCACATTTGCTTGTGGAGAGGTGGAAGGCAGGGAAACCCAAACGCAAAAGCCCAAGAGTGGTCTCTGTCTAATTGGCTGATGGAACCCCCACTCTCCCCCACCCACACCCTGGTTCTGGGAACTGAACCCCAGGCCTTTCAGTGAGCTACATCCCCAATGCTTTCAATTTTTTATTTTGCAATAGGGTCTCATTAAGTTACTCAGGCTGGGCTCAAACTTGTGATCCTTGTCTCCTCCCAGAATGCTGGCACTACAAGTGTGTGCCACCATACCTGGCTCTCCCGATCCATTTCATCAGTTCACCTTCTGTCTATTAATCCTTTAATTCCTACCTCTTTGCTTCTACCACAGGAAAGCCCTTGGGGCTGGACAGCTCTCCCCTAATACTCCATCAAGCTGTCTGGGCCAGCACCCAGACTTCTCAGTTTACTTCCTCATCTGTAAACTGTGAGTCTTGATAATCCTTCCCTCACGGTGAGCATTCGAAGCAGACAATCATGTAATCACAACAGAGACACAAAATGCTCACTGCATGCCTGGATGAATGTTCCCAGCAATTTCTAACAGTTATTATGTTCACTCCAGTGATGAGCAAAGTGAGGTTCGGGCAGGTCACAGTGAGGAAGAGAAAGCATTGGGAAGATAACTCAAGTAGCTTGACTCCACAGCACAACTTCTAACAGCTCAAGTTATCTGGTGGTGAGGGGAACTTGGCAAATGGATGGTCAGTGTTACCTAGTGGTTAGGAGCACAGTCCCATGTCAGGCTACCTGGTTTCAAATTCCAGCTCTGCCGGGTGGGCAAGCTACTAAGCCCTCTACACCCCAGCTCCATTCTCTGTAGAATGGGGAGAAGAGCAGTACTCACCAATGGGCATGCTGTGCAGATTTAACAACTGAGTATGCCCCAAGCACGCAGTACATGTTGGATAAGCAGTGGATGTGAGTGCTGGGACTGGGCAGGAGTGCAAGGTACGGGAAACAGGGCAGCCTACCCTGTGTGGATGGTCCCGGTGGCAGACTGGTCTTCATGTGAAGCAGATCCCTGCACCGGAGACTCTGCTGGTCCTGGAGGAACCAAAGGTCTTGGCGAAGAGAGGCAGCCTTTGGGAGCAGCAGCTCTGGTCCCTGGAGGGAGGGGAAGGACAGTCACTGAGGGCAGGGGTGGGGATGGTGATGGGCAGACAGGTCCTAGGGGACAGTCACTTACCTTTCCTGCAGGCAGCCCCAGTGTGTGGCTCAGTGCTATAAGGCTGGAGCCCTTGGGGGACGCGGGGTGCAGCTGGTGGATGGATGGTAGAAGTGTGGGCAGGGGCTTCAACCTGGGGAAGAAGACCGGCCTTGATGGAGCACGGAGAGAAGGGCTTGAGTTCCAGAAGTTCTGGAGGCCAAGGAACTTGAAAGTAGGCCTGGGGGCTAAGATATCAGACTGGGGCTGGACTTGAGTGGGAGGCCTGGAAGCCTGAGAACACTGGGGCCACTTCTTTGGAGGAGGTTAGGGAATAACAGACCTAGTGCAAGGAGGAGGGAGGCTGGGCTTCAGAGATTACCCTCCAGGGCTGTGCCGTAGCAGCGTGCTCAGTAGGATGTGAGGCAGGTGCCGGGCTCCCTCTTCCAGGCAGTGCAGCAACTCTTGGCTTTGTGGTGCCACTGCCTCAGAAGTAGGGATCACCTTTCGCTGAACCAGAGCCAGCACCTATGGGGGAGGTACAAGTGGGCAACCTGTGTTGACCCAGCCCTATGCCTAGCAGATCCAGCCCCGCTGCCTCCACCCTAGACCTCATCACCCCAATACTCATCTTACCTCCCCGGGGATCTGGCCCAGGCGTGTCTTGCTGGCTGAGTTTCCCTTGATGAGTAGGCGAATCTGTTCCTGGGTCTCTCCCTGGGGAACAGGAGGCCATGGGGACTAGCTGCACATCCTTCTCACTTCGTAGGCTGAGAACCTCTCTTTGCACAGGTCCTGCTTCCTCCTGGGGTTCTCACCCTGGCCCCCTCCCTGGCCGGTGCTTGATCACAAGGCCCCATGACTTGGCTCTTGCCCCCTGCCAGGCCCCGCCTCTCACCACCCGCTGCCGCCAGTGCAGAATGCGATGCTGCTTGGCCTGCAGCTCCCGCAGGAGGAGCTGCTGATGCCCAGATGCATCCTCCAGCTCCTGGCTCTGGGAACACAAGGCTTTGAGCTCTGCCCGCAGGCCACAGGCTCGAAGGCCCAGCATTAGCGCCTTCCTGAAAGACAAGCAAAAAAAGAGCAAAGGCGGGGAAGGAGACTGAGACCCACTCTAGGGAGGGAGATGCAATCTTCAGGGACGCACAAGGAACCACGAAAACACAGAGATAAACCTCATAGAAAGGGCGGAATAGAGGGGAATCATAGGGACAGAAATCATCTGCCAAGGGAGCGCCTCACCTCTCGCTGGGTCCAAGGCTGTGTCTCTCCGTCTCCTCCACCAGGCTCTGGAGGTGGCCAGTCAGGACCTGACGCTCCTTCAGAAGGGCTCCCCGCTGGGTGACCAGTGCCCCCACCGCCTGCCAGCCCTCCTGGGGGTAGACACAAGGTCTGTGTGAGCATGGTCCATGGGGGGGAGGGGTGGGGATACTGAAAGGGTAGCTGGAGGTTACCTGGATGAGATGCACCAGGGACGGCAGGGCTTGGCTCGAGTCTGCCGAGGCCAGGGCCTGGGGTCTGTGTGAGGGCACAGCTGCTGAGGGACAGCCCTGCATCCTGGTCTTGGTACCACAACCGGCCCTGGCATTCAGTTCCGCCCTGCCATAGGTCACTGTGCCTGATTCTGGCTCTGTCCCAGCTCACCCAGCCCACCTGCCTGCTACTCCACACCTGGATTTCTCCATGTCTCCGAGCCCATCCCCACCGCACAGGGACCGGATCTCCACCTCCCGCTCTGCAGCCAGGTACTCCAGGGCAGCCAGGACGTGGCCTGGGGGGTGGTTTGTCAGCAGTGTCTGGGGAGCAGGAAGGGTGAAGTCATGGTACAATAGGGGCTGGGCAGTAATCTGGGGCTCCATAGGAATGAGATAGGATACAGGGTCAGGAGCTGGTCCCTGACGTTTGAACATCAGTCTGGAGGGTGTGGTCTGTCCAAGAGCCCCACCTTCTCACCTCTACTAAACTGAGCCACTGCTGGTAAGAAGCTCCAAAGTGGTCATCATGGGGGCTTCTGTGGGTCGGGCAAAGGGTCAGGAATGTTAGAAGACATATCAGTTAACCTTGTTTTTTCAATACTGGGGATCAAACTCAGGACCTTGTGCTTGTGAGGCAAGCATGGCACCACTGAGCTAAATCCCCGGTCCAGTTATTCTACTTATCACCACCACTCTACAAGGTAGGGGCTCTCACTGTCCCCATTTTACACGTGAGGAAACTGAGTCCCTCTGTGCCTGCTAGACTTAGCCTGCTACCCTGGCTAAGCCTCCTCACCAGAGAACCCCTCCCTTCCCTACCTCCTCAGCAGCCTCTTAGTCTTTCCCATCCCCCACAGACCTGACCACTTGGCCATCACTGTCTATTATGGGTCTGTCTCCTCCTTTTTGCAGCTTGGAATTGAAATAGCCCAGAAGCTCAACATCCAAGGGATTAATAAAAGAGTGACTTTCCCTCTCCAAAGCCTAGGTTTATTGACAGGTTCCTGGAGTCTGGGGACACTCACGGGACACTGGTTCCCCTGGCCTGAGGCACCAGGAGGTTCTGCAGGAACTGGGCTCGGAGGGTGCAGGCTGTTCGGACATCACGCTAGGGAGAAGAGGATAGGACACAAAGGACATTCGGGCGTCTGCCTAACTCTGAACTCCTCACCCCTTTTCTGGAGCCCAGGACACTTACCAGGACCATGGGCTCCAGGGCCAGGGCTGCTGATGTCAGAGATCCAAAGGTCACATCAACTTTGGCCTTCCTGGAGGGAGGAGTGCAGTTGGGGCTGGCATCCCCAGCAAAACACATGCCTGTGCCCCAGGGGTCACTTCTGAGATCGGGCCTCTCTCATCTCACTGTCTTAGCCTCCTTCCGTGGTCTCAATGCTCTTTCCCTGCCTCCTGGCCCCGCAGTCTGTTCTCCACCCAGTGGTCAACAATCTTGTTAAAACCTAGAGAAGATCACGTCACTGTTCACATCCTTCACAGCAATGGATGTTTCCCCACCACAGGCAGAACAGCAACCGTGGTTACCAGGCACTTTTCTGAGCACTGTACACAACTTACCTAATTCCAACACCTAATGTAAATGGCTGGTATGAAATGAGGTTTGTTCCACAGCTCATGTATTGAGGTGCCAAAAAGTTAACTACTTTGCCCAAGGCCATGTGGGCAAGTGGCCAAGCCAGGACCTGAACTGTTTCAAAGTCAAACTCCAGTTCCTTATGGAATGCTACCGACCCGTCCAACCTCCCTCACCCGGTCTGTCTTGCCTGAGGAAGCTGAGCTGAACTGGCTTCCTAGCTGTTCTTCCCACAGGCCAAGGTTGGGACCTCTGCTCTTGCCCTCTCCAAGGAAATTCCTCCCCCAACTCAAATGTTACTTCCTCAGTTTACTGCCTGCCCTGAGCCTCCCCCTCTGCCATATGGCCTTGAACTTAGCACTACCTGAAACTGTAGGATGTGTTCCTTAGTTTATAGACTGCTCTTTCCACATCAGAGCATAAGCTCCAGGAGGACAAGGAGCTGTCCTGTGTCCTACTGTTTGTTCCAGAGCCGGTGTTCTAAAAATACAGTTGGCACCACTCTTGGCACTGGAAATAGAGTTATAAGGTGACAAAACGCTGGCCTTAGGGAGAGTAAATGCTATAGGTGGGAACTCGGAATTCTGAAACCCAGAAAGGATCAGGGTAGAGGTCCCTAAGGAGAATGACTGCCCTGATGAGGGCTGGTCCCTTGGGTACCGAGGCCCACCTCTCTATGTCTTGCAGGTGCTTGAGCTGATTCTGTAGCCACTGCATGGGATCTCGGAGCCCATGCTGCTGTCTTCGCACAGCTCCAGCTTGGGCCCGGAGGAGGAGAGCTCGATGCTGGGTGTCTCGCATGCTCTGCAGTGCCTGCTCTGTGGCCATGTCTGTGGGAAGAACAGGAATGATTATCAGTGCCTCCTCAACCTGGTATTCCACTGCCCATCCGCCTGGCCCCACGGGTCACCCTGGGTTTCATTCTCTTGCTCCATCAGCTCCAGGCTCTGGTCTAACTCTTGGATCTCTGCCCTTAGGCGGGACACAGTGGCTTCCAGCTCCAACTTCCGACAGACCTGGTGGAGTCAGGTATAAGGTCAGATGCTTGGTTTAATGGGGGCTAAGCCTGGCCTATCTTTTGGGAGGGCACCAGGTTTCTCATCCACGGGATGGGGGAATGGAAGAGGGTTTTTTTCTAAGCAGGCTAGGTACTATCTGGCTTTCTCCTTCCTCTTGGGATTACCTCACCCAACCTCCCAGCCTTTTTTTTTCTTCTCTCCCTCTCTCCCTCTCTCCCTCTCTCTCCCTCTTCCCCCTCTCCCTCTCTCTCTCTCTCTCTCTCACACACACACACACACATCAAGGATTGGGGGATTGAACTTAGGGCCTTCCCATCCCACTGACCTTCGT